ATAAAATAGGAAATGATAAAAAGTTGTTCTTTCCCCCTCTTTCTTTATTTCTTGCTTCTAACGCTTGGGGGTGGAGTAGGGTGGAAATTGTGGTTTTAAAAATAAATAGCCAAAGCCAGGAACACTGGGAACTTTGAGTTGATGCCTAAAATTAGATGAAGGCAAAAGGACACATTCCCCACCCCACACCCCACACCCCTCACTCACCTCTACTTTACAGTAAGGCTCCAAATCCTCCCAGCAAGTAGAGGGCCTGTGAAGAAACTCAGTGATTCTGACCCTATATTACTAAAATCACTCTGGCTCCACCCCCAGAGATTCTGACTCAATTGGTCAAGCCGGCATCAGCACTGAAATAATTTTAAGAGCCCTTCAGGTGGCTGTTATGTACAGCCAGAATTAAGAATTAGTAGACTGAAGCTTAAAGGAAGCCTGAGAAGTGGCCATTTGCTCAGGTAGTCAGTGTAGAAAATGGGAGTGGCTGGAATTATAGAATTATAGACACTTTTTCTTTCTGTAGGTAGTTGGTTAGGGAAAGAGGAAATCACAGAGGAAAAGTCTCGGGTTCAAGACAGAGTGTAGAGTGTTCTGATCAACCCCCATTCACCCTGCTGGTGAAGGACGAATTCCCTGTCCTATATAGTATGAGATGGTGGAATACATGACACCCAACACTGGACAGATGAGACTGAAAGCAGCTTATTACTCATATACACTCACAGCCTGGGGGAGGAGGAAGCTGCCTGCAATGCAGGGCCACATGGGATTGCACTCAGGAGCAGAACGAACCACCGACTGTGACAGGCAAGCTTTGTAGTAACAAGAGGGTGAGTTGTCTCTGGTTCCCACAGAAGGATGTGATTGACTTGTCTGAATAATTTCATGGGCTAGCAGGGAAGTGAAACCCATTTGGTTGAAGCTGGTGGAATGCAGCTGGTCCAGCTGATAGGGAAACTAGCCAGGTAGGGAGACTTTCCCACTAGGTGGGGCCATATCTGGCAAAAGCAGAGGAACTTATGGTTAGGCCCTTGGGGCCCTGTGAGTCTCAAAGATGTGAAGGTAGCACATGACATTTTAGGCCTTATAATACATGCAGTAGAGATAGCTGAAGATGGGTCCAGGCAGCTGGGCTTGGAAACAGCAGGCACGAGTATGGAAAAGCATAGCCAACAGGCTGATGTTGTCACAGAGGTTGAGGACCCAAAGGGGCCTGGGACTGGGTGGCTATAATGGTTAATTTTTTTTTTTTTTTTTTGTCTTTTTCCATGTCCGGCAACAGACTGCAACCCTCAGTGTCGCCCCTGTACCAGACCGGGACCGGCAACGGGATCGCAACCCTCGGTGTTGCTCCGGAGCCTTGCTCAGCCAGTGAGCAGGAACCGGTCTGCATGTGGGATCCGAACCCTCGGCGGGAGCGCTGCTGCGCTTCCCAAGCGGCGCACTATCGCAGTGCGCCACCGGGCCGGCCCTATAATGGTTAATTTTATGGGTCAACTTGACTGGGCCAAGGGGTGCCCAAATTAAACATTATTTCTGGGTGTGTCTGTGAGGGGTTTTCTGGATGAGATTAGCATTTGAATTGTTAGACTCAAGCAAAGTAGACTGCCTTCCCCAATGTGGGTGGGCATCATCCAGTCCATTGAGGACCTGAGTAGAACAAAAGGCTGAGGAAGGAGGAATTTGCCCCTTCTGCACTGTTGTAGGCACTGATGATACACTGGTGCACAAAATAAAGATGCCTGATCTTGGGGACTTTATATGGAGATGAGGTATGTGTGTGTGTTGGGGGTTGGGGGTGGTGTCTGGGAACAGATAATAAAAAATAAATATAATAAAAGTAACTTTTGTAATATGTTATAAAGTGATAAAACTGTGTGGAAAAAATAAAGCAGAATATTGGGGGTGGGGGGCTGGGGTGGGCAATTTTAAGTGGAGTGGTTCAGAATGGGCCTCATTAATAAAGTGACATTTAAAGGAGTTGAGGGAATTAGTCAAGTGGATATCTGGGGAAGAGTGGTCCTGGCTGCAGCAATGGCTGGTCCAAGGGCCCTGAGACAGGATCATGCCTGGTGTATGCTCAAAAAAAAAAAGGAGGCCAGTGTAGCTGGAGTGGAGAAATGAAGGACAGAGCAGCAGAGAGGCAGATTACTTAGTATCTTGTGGGCAATTTTGAAGACTTTGGCATTGACTCTCAGTAAAATGGAGAACCCTTGGAGGACTTTGACAAGAGAAATGATGTGGTCTGTCCTACTTAATACTCTGCAGTTGGATGAGAATAGACTTAGAGTGTGGGTGTCAAGGGTTGAAACCAGAGTAATTCAGGTAAGAGGTGATGGTGGCTCAGACTAGCACGGTAGGAGAGGAGATGGAGAAAAGTGGTTGGGTTCTGGCTATATTTTGAAAGGAGAGCCAACAATTTCCTAGTGAATTGCATATGGGATATTTTTCCTCAAGCACTCAGTTCTCCTTCCTTCCTTTTTTCTATCCTTCCTTCCTTCCTTTAATTTGTTTCTTCATCCTTTCTTTTTGTAGTATATCTGGACATGAGTTTGTTTTTCTTAACATATTTGGAGTATTTACCAATATTAAATATTGTGGAGTGTACTAACATTAATAAAGCAAATGTATTTCACAGGGCCTAGGTTCCAAAGCCCTGTAGTTTCAGGTATAACATAACTCTTTAGAATTACATATAGAAATGTTAAGCTTGCAAAAGACAGGAAACTTTCCCCAGGCTAAAGTCTCTGTTATAGATAAAGAATTATAACACAACAAAATTGCTGGCTTAAGGACAGATATTCTAGGTGCACCTACTGATTGATATGTTAAGAAAGTTGCTTGATTGTTGTGTAAAAATA